CAAGGTTAACCACAATTTGTTGTCAAATGCCTTTTCATAGTCAATGAAACAAAAATATAAATTCCTCTGGTACTCTTTGCTTTCAGCCAAGATCCATCTGACATTGGTGATTTGTCTCTCAATATTCTTTTCCAGTTGTTTTTGGATTATCTTCAGCATGATATTGCTTATATGTGATGTTAGTGATATTGTTCAATAATTTACAGAACTTGGTCATCTTTTTTGTAATGGTAATACAGACAGATTTTTTTTTCACAGTCAGTTGGCCAGATAGTTGTCCTCAGATTTCTTGGCATAACCTGTTAAGTGCATCCAGGGCAGCATCTATTTGCTGAAATATGTCAACTGGCATTCCATCAATTCCTGGAGCCTTGGTGTGGTTTTTTTGCCAATTCCTTCACAGAAGCTTGACTTTCCTCCTTAATCACTGTTGCTTCATGATCATATGTTGTTTCATTAAATTCTTCTGTGTGCACAAATTCTTACTGGTACAGTGTCTCTGTATCTTTTCCCTCTTCTCTTAATGCTTCCTGGGTCACTCAATATTCTGCCCACAAACGAGGCTTGAATTTCCTTCTTACACAAATCATACCTTGTTGTTATGTGTCATCAAGTCACGTGCAACTCATACTGACCCTATGTACAAGAGGCCTAAAAGCCATTCTATCCTGTGCCAACCTCACTGTCTCAAACACACTCATTCTTACCACTCCACTCACAGAATTGATCCACCTCATCGAGGGTCTTCCTCTCCCGTGTGTCCCATCACTCTCCCAAACATAATGGCCCTCTCCAAGGACCAATCCCTCCTTGCAACATGCCCAAAGTATGTCAGACGAAGCTTCAGAATCCTTCACTCCAGAGAACACTCTGGCTTCACCCTCTCCAGGACAAACCTGTTTGTTCTCCTAGCAGTCCATAGTATATACAACACTCTTCTCCAGCACCACAGCTCATAGGCATCAATTCTCTTTCTATCATCCCTATTTACTGTCCAACTCTCCGATGCATAGCATGTAATTGTGAAGCACCTTAGTCTCCAGCCTGATGTCTTTGCTCTTCAGTACTCTTGAGAGGTCCCTCACAGCTGACTTTCCCAATGCAATTCGTCTCCTGATTTCCTGGCTGCTGTTACCAAGA